TAAATAGCACCCATTCCATATTGATCATCTTAAAAAGACACGGTATGTTCTAGGTCCACAGAGAGGAGAGTTGTGTCTAAATATAGTCTCATCCCCAGGATCTGCTGCCAGCCTGAGGAGAGTGGTGTAAGCCGTGCACAACCAAAGGGGCAGTCTGAAGGCGCAGACAACGGAAAGGGTTGGGGGTGGAAATAGAGGCTGGGAATCTCTCCATCCCCACCCTACTCCCTCTGCTCCAGCCACAGCAGCCAACCCTGCCTCAGGGCCTTTGCACTTGCAGCTCTCTCTTTATATGATATTTTTCTCCCAGATCTCCTCAGGATTGGTTCTTTCTTATTACTCAGGTCTCAGTTCAGTTTCTCCTTCAAGAGGCCTTCCCTGACCAGCCAGTCTAGTCAATCCCATCTCTCCATCACATCGTCCTGTTTTATTTCCTTCATAGCACTGCTCACTATCAAAAATTATCTTTCTTATCTATTTGTTTAGTAGTATCCAATCGATCTTTCCCCAATAGTATGTAAACCATGTTCATGAGAGCAGTTATTGTATCTGAATTGTACACCTTCTAGAATCTTCCATGGCACAGAGTAGGTGCTATACATCCTGTCCAGGCTCTCCTCCACCACCGCAGGCTGAACTCTGCCTCAGAGAGTTCACTCACTCCTCAGGCCAGTCTGGGCTGGCAGAGGGCAGTGGGCATCCAGTCCGTGGTTCACTGCGGGACCCGCCTCCCTGTGACTGCTCTGCTCCCTGCGGCGTCCGCGTCCAGCCTCTGTCCACAGGCTGCCCCCTGGCTTCACCTTCTCTCTCTGCCACCTTCGTGGATTCTGCCACAGGCCTCTTACCCAAGCCCCTCTACTCCTGCATACCTGCTCTAGATGACCTCATCTTGTCTCCAGACACCGCTTTCTGGAACACTTTCTCTCCTCAGAGCAAGATCTCCCTCCCTTCCAGCTCCCGGCCCCCAGCAGGAATCACGGTTCCTGCCATCAAAATCTCCCTCTCAGAGATTCACAGGAAGAATCATTTCACCCCGGGTCTTCCTGGCTGGCCCACTGGACAAACCAGAGCAACTGAGACCCCATGGGCACAATTTTAACTCACAGACCTCCCGCCCTCACTGCAAGGGAGAGGCATTTTCCCACAAGCAGCCACACGTGGACGCACTGCATGGACACGCACGCCTCCAGTGTCCACTCCAGGCTCTCCCTACAACTCTCCGCTGACCCCACCCCTCACCAGCACCCCTCTATCTCTCTCCTCCCTCTTAAATCATCAAACTCTTTGAAAGAGCTGTCTACACATGCTGTCTCCACGTCCTCACCTTCTGCTCACTCCTCAATTTACTCTGAACTGGCTTCCATTCTCACCAATTCATTCATTCATTCATTCATTCATTCATCAATGACCCCTCTGTGCCGGGCATGCATTAAAAAGGAAATTTCTGTTGCCAAGGCCACCAGCACCCTTACTCTTGTTCAATCTAGTGGACACTCGTTTTTGAATGATGCATTCTTTTTTATCTATCCATGAACTTCTCAGAACGTATTTTTTCTCTCAGCAGAAAGACATGGATGACTCTCCTTCCTCCTGGGATGTGTGTCCTCCTTGCTTCCTGTGACACCTCCTGCTCCTGGCTCTTCTCCCACCTCTCTGACTGCTCCTCCCCAGCCTCCTTTGCAGAATTCTCCTGCCTCAATTGTTGGAGTGCCTCGGGTCTCCGGATTCAACCCTCCTCTCTCTCACCCTCTTCACCACATTAGGATCACCCGGGTGCTTTTAAAACTACTGATGCCCAGGCCTTACCCCAGAGTCAAATGAATTAGAATCTCTGGGCGTGGAGCCGGGACATAGGGTTTCTTTCTTTTTTAAGCTTTCCAAGTGATGCTAATGTCGCCAGCGTTGAGAACCACTGGTCTGCGCTCTTGCTGGACAATCTAATTCACTGCCATGGCTCCAATGACGAGCTTTCACAGACGATTCCAAGTTCCCACCTCCAGCCCACATCTCCTTCCTGAACGCTGGACCCCTCCCTCAACTGACTGCTGGATGTTGGCCTCTCTCCCGGCAAGCCCTACAGGTTCAAATCAGAACCTGAAAGAGCCATCGCTTCTCCTTTGTTCTCCACCAAGCTCGCCAACGCAGCTTCCCCTGCCCATTTACCCCTCACAGTGTGATCCGGCGCTGTGAACATCACTCAGTGAGCAATCGAAGTTAGGGATGGGAGAGTGGCATGGCCCTTAACAGAGAAGAAAGCTGGGACGCCACAGGTTCTATTCCCTGTGGCAACCTGTCTGTCCCTCTCCTTCAACGGAAAGACCTTGGACGGCACCCATGGTCTGCCCTGGAGAGGTAGTACAGTGAAGAGCGGATGTTCGGACCCCCGCGCTCAAACTCAAGTCCTGCTACTTAGCAGACGTGTGACGGTGAGCAAGTTACCTAACCTTTCTGAGACTTCAGTTTCTCCATCTGCCAAACGGTCATTATTATGGTCCCTACCTCCAGGACTGATGCAAGGATTCAGTGAGATGAGACTTATAAAGTACTTAGTGGCCAGCAGAAAGCACTCAGTGAATGTTAGCTATTTTTAGTACCATTACTGAGGATAAATTCCCAATTCCTGAGCAGAGCTCACAAGGGCTTCCGTGACTGTGATCTTGGCTTTATCTTCTGCTCTTTCCTCCCTCAAACCATGGGACCCAATGGGTCACTAAACTAACAATTATGCTGTTTCACATCTCTGTGCTTTTGTACATGCTGATCCTGAGGGCTGCACCGAAACTTCGCCATCCAGAAAACTCCTATTCATCCTTCAAAACCTGGGTGGAAGGTCATTTTTGTTAGACAGATACCCTTGATTCTCCTGGCCCAAGGTAATCACTCCTCCTTCGAGTGGACTATGGGGACACATTTCTATCATCGCACACCTTTCCAATAAGCTTCCCAAGGGTCAGCAGGAACTAGCTTCCTGTGAACAAAACAGAGACTGCCAATTCCCACTATCTCAGGCTGCCCCCATGACTCCCTTCTCCTTGGATTGCCCAAGCACCAGCCTCCCCTGCTCCCCAACTCCCAGCTGTCTCGGGTGTCCCAGCTTCCCACCACTCCTCCAAGCTCAGTCTTCATGCTGAGTGAGTCAATATTGGAATTTTTCCAGAGGAGCTTCAATCACCACACAGAGACAGGGCCAAGCACCCCAGAGGCACAGCAGCTGCCCATGCCACATTGGGCTGGATGCTGGTTCTTGGTATGCCAGGGCCAATCCCTCTTCTGCTCAGATCCTCTTGGGTCAGTGCTAGACCAGTTTGGCTCCCAAGAAGTAGATCTCAAGGAATCTTCACCCTAAGTGGTGCCTCAAATTCACTCTCTCTCTAGGTGACCTTGGAGAAGTCCTTGACCCACTCTCAGCCTCAGTTTCCTCCTGTACAATGTGGTGATGATAGGGTTAGACTAAAAGTTCAGTGAGGCTTATTTCAGCATAGGGCTGGCCATTCTAGCATGAAATTTGTATTCTTTGCCCTGGCTGTCCCCTGACCCTGCTTTCCCCACGCTCCTGTGACAGCAGCATGGCATAAGCGATCAGCCTGTGCCACCCTCATTCCACCTTCCAGCTCCATGACCACCTGCTCACGTGCACCTGCCCAATTCTAACTGGGAGGATTTGAGGGCAGCAGCAAGGGCCTGGGCTCCTGGTCGCCTGGGCCTCTGCTGCTCCGTGTCCCTCTGGATCCTGGGGGACAGTGGGAATCAGGGAGAGGGCTGAGGTGCTGAGCATGGTGGGGTCATTTGGTGTGCCTGTCTCCACCGTGCTGTCTAGGCCCACTGTGGGAGGTGCTTGGGGTCTCAGCAGGAGGCGAGGAGACAGCTGGGGAAATGGAATGCCAGCCCAAGCCCCCAAGAGGAGACTGATCCCACCACCCAAGGCTGCTCTCAAGGCACTAAGGAGAGAAGATCAATTCCTTCCTTACACAACCTCAGTCATGGTGTCTTGATTCGCGGTGCACTGGCCTCCAACAGGTGTTTGCAAGGCGGGCCTATGGCCAGGGCCTTGTCGCCAGCAGCCCCCCCACCACTACCACTCTCCACACCTCGGCCCCCACAAGGATAGGCACCTCCACTTCTTCCCTGGGCGCCACCAAAGACCGTCAAATAACAGAGGACAAGAGCTGCCTCCCCGCAGGGCGTGTGAGTCTGCCCGGGTCAGAGGGGTCAGAGCAAGGAGGGCAGAGAACTCTTCCCAAACCCAGCGCACAGGCATCTCCGCTTTTGAGAGCACACGAAGATCTCTCCGCCTTCCCGGCGCACAGAGACGAAATGAGGCCCCATTAGGGCGTCAGAGGGCACAGAGATCTCTGTGGTCGGAGCGCGCAGAGAGAGGACACACACACACACAGATCTCTACCCTCTCAGGGCGCACAGAGATCTGTTCCCGGTCAGGACAGGCAGAGATCTCGTCCCAAAGAGGACACCCCCAGCGGACGGCTCCGCCGGCCCGGAGAAACGGGGTGTTTGGCCCCCTCCCCCATTCCCAGCCCTGCTCGGTCAGCTTCCCCACTCTCTGGAACCACACTCACTGCGCGCCTAGTCGCCGCTCTGACCTTGGGGTCTCCGGCCTCGGGAATCCGGGTCCCAATCCCAGACCCTCCCCGAGCGTGCGCCAGGGTCGGCCGGGAAGCCGGGGCCGCAGCTCCCCCCTCCCCCGGCCCTCGACAGCGCACTGGGAAACCCGGAAGGAAAGGGAAGGGGAGGGGGCGTACGGCGGTTAGAGACGCCCTCCCCCCGGGGGACCCCCTCCAGCCAGGCTGATCTGCGCCCCTTCTTCTCCCTCTCCCACCCTCAGTGGGGAGTGACGGGGGAGGGAGCTGCCGGGCGGACCCGGAGCAGGGGAGGGGGCGCGCAGGGGCTGGAGGCTCCGACCCTCGGGGAGGAAAGTTGGGCGGCGGCGGGCGGAGGGGGCTCCGGCCCGGCAGGGGCTGCGGGGCGCGGGGGCGCTCGCTCACCTGCTGGTCCCCCGGCCCGGGCCCCGGGATGGGCGGCTGCGGCTCGGCGCGGACTCGGCTCGGCGCGGGGCTCGGGGCACTGGACGCAGGCTCAGGGGCCCCGGGGGTGCGATCCCCGCATCCCACGGGCGCCGCCGCCGTCTCGGCTCCGCCGCTCGGCTCGGGCTCCGGGGCTCGGCGGGCGGCGCGGGCTCGGGCTGGGGGCGGGGTCGGGGGCGGGCCCCGCCCC